TTCAATATACCAAAATAACACATATGTACACAGATATATATATATATATATAAATATATACATGCATACAGTTAGTTGGTATAAAGTTATCAAGTTTGTTAAAGAAAAGCAAAAAAAGAAAGCTGTATAGGCATAAAATATGGTACATAAACATCATGGAAACCAGGCTTCTACTCCAAATTTAATTCAAACATCACAGAGTCCAGAAGATATATATATATATATATATATGTATGTATGTCTTATCAATTTCTTTCTCTCAGTGTAGTAAGTCAAATATTCTCTTGATATGGTATTGACCATTTAATACCAATAAATCTATGTTATCTTAAGAATACTAAGAAACTTGACTTTGTTTAATTAAACCCAAAATAATTAAAAATTAAAACATAGTTTATTGCTAATTGTTACTAATTATCTACAGATTAATATTAAATTTAAATATTATAAAAAGAGAAATGTATTGGATTCTGATTTTGATTCTCTGAGGAAGCTTGTGGTGGAAATGAAGTAAGAGGAATAGTTTATGGGAAAATGACAAGCTCTTTTTTTTTTTTTTTTAATTTCTTTAATTAAAGATTAATTATTAATTACCGGCTATTATATTATTCCCCCATATATTTATATATATATATATATATATATTTAAAAAAATATAACTCATATGAGAAAAAGAAAAAAAAAAAAAACTTTTATATATTTAAATTGCAGCCAGAACAAGCTGGACCAAACAGCAGCAAAATCCCACGCACATCATAAAAGATATCCACCATGTGCCATTAAATGAACACAGTACTGTTCTTTTGTCACATATATAGATATTTATGTATATAAATATATTTAATATATAAGCATCATGACCAACCATAATAAAAATATATATATTTTTTTAAAAAAAATATCCCTTGGAGGGAAATTTATATATATATATATATATATATACATACATTTCCACTTCTTTTTTTTTTTTAAATGAGTTTATATATATATATATATTTGGGAATTTTTCGTGAAGGCCCAATTCTTTATTATGAATTTTGAGAATATAACTTAAAAATAGTAGAAATAAACAATACTAAAATTTATAAATTTAGTGAAAGCCGTTTACAGTATAAGATTACATTCATTGCACATTTATTAAATATTCAATAGGGTTACGAGAATGTTTTAAAGACATAATAAAAAAAAGTATAAAAAAATAATACGATTACTCTGTTCGAACTGAGAAAGTAGAGACATCTTAAGTAATTATTT